TATATATAGCAACAAGGCTTAAAATATCTTCTGTAGTTATTCTCATACTGACTTCAAAACAAGGACGGTAGATGCATTGCTTTTCAGAACTTAAAATTTTCAACATTTAGTGCAATTAAAACATCAATAACACTGGAGCATTTTATTCCCCTTAAACTAATTACTAATATAAACAATTCACATTCCTTTATCAGGGATTTATTTAGGTTTTCAGACAGAGACTTACCATGTTGGCTCTGAAGTTTACATGTGGTACCACAAGGGCTGGCTTTAAAATGTGCACTGCAACTTAGGCTGCTGGCATGTTGTGAACATCTGTGCTTGCTGCCTAATTAGTGGAAATGAGGTGCTTTTGCATCTGATTTAGAGACATACAAGAAACAGAAGACATAGTTTCACACCCTTAGGACTTTAGTTTGTCTGAAAAATAAGTAAATAAACAATTTTTCATTTCCAGATAGGGGGAACCACACAGTATATAACACCAGCCTCTATCCTATCTATTATCTAGAAATAGGGCACAGGCATTTTTGCAGCGTCAGAAAGCGCTAATATGAGCTTTCAGAGTCTGACCTTTTTTTCCTTGTGGAAGGAAGGAAGTCCTCTGCTGTCATCAGTCAGCTCTGCTTCAGTTCAGTTGAGTCTAATTTGCAGAGCCAGGTAAACATCACAGCTGTGATGATTTACTTCCTCCATTTTTCCTGACTCTGAAATGCCTACAGTCACATGAATGTAGAGAGAGCATTTTGCTTCAAAGAAATGGGTTTCTTGTAAAGGCATGAGAGAGCTTATTGGCTGTTTGAGCCAAACAAAGCCACTATTTGAATGAGCTGCAGGTTTACCCCTCCCAATATACAGGCCAAGTTTAAACCCAATATTTGAAACTTTAAAACACCTGCAACCGTCATTTTAGACCACAAAGATGTTTCCTTAACTCTTAATGTTGTCACAACCAAACAGGTAGACAGCTTTCGACTAGCAAAATGTTACCTCTGTGCTTTCAAGCAGAGAACTGAGTCCTTCTTAATCAGGCAGAATAACCAAAATAGTGTCTTCTATTTTGTGTGGTGCAATTTCAAAGCTGTAAAGCATGCTGGGAGGTGAATTTACAGATTATGATGATCTGGCACTACTAATCTATCAATTCCAGTTTGATTAAATAAAGCATAAACAGGTCCCCTTAAAAATTTACTGAAAATGGTCAGACAGGACACTGATATAAGGAAATGCTGTCATTTATTTACACTCAATGTCTTATGTTAGCACTATGTTTAGAAAATGAAAATGGTATGGGGAAGCAGATTTTGATCTTATCTAAGATAAGATCAAAATCTCTATCTATGGTCTCACTTTCAGTCTCAACAATAGAGCATAAATTTGGTGGACAGTACTGTACATACAGCAAAAAGATTTTACTCCTTTGCAACTTGAAAAAAACATAAAGAAAATATATTTAAAAGCCTTTGAATGATAAATTGGTCAAGCATTTATCAATTAAATCTGACCAAATACTTAAAAGAAGATTACTCTTTGTACAAACATTACCCTCATTTCGCAACCTAGTTTCTGTGGGACAAACATAAATCTTATGACACATCAACCTATCTACTAGCAAACTCTTAAAGACGGAGATATCATGCTCAGTAAATCAAATTTGTTTTGTCATTTTTTTTGATTTTATAAGGATTTCATAATTTTCTCCTCAGATCAGGGTATATTGTGCTTTATTCTGGGGAAGACACTCTCTCAGTGGGTTAGTTAGGGGTCAACGGCTTACAGGCTGTAGATAGATGTGTTAAATTATTAAAGTAGAGGGGAAACCAAGTTAAAATAGTTTATTTTATTAACTAATTGTTCTTGAGTTATTATTATTATTATTGAACCAGTCTTTTTAAATTTTAGATAGAATGTTATCAGTAAAACAGACACCAAAGACTGCCCACATGAGGGTGGAGCTCTAAAAAGTCAAACAGAAAATGAAAACAATCTCCATTAAGTTGATCCTGCAGCAGAGAAGGGGCATATATTGCAAGAGACACTCAGCAGAGACTCCACATTTTACACCAGTGCTGGTAAGTTACGGCTTCTTATTTGTATTTGTCTTGATGCACATTACAGTTTCATTGCTGAGCAAAGAGAAAAGGAAACCCTTTCCTCTCTGCTCAGCAATGAAACTGTACAAAAAAAATCATGAGGACTACATTTAAAGATTCCAAACGTACAACAGTGATAGGTAAATACAATCTTCAAATATGTCAGGAAATTATAAAGAAATAAATAAAACATCTTGTATTAGAGCAACATGTTTACTTATCAAAAGTTGACTTTCAAGTTTCCCTTTCTATTTTCTCTCCTCCACCGTATTTAGGCTCTGAGGTGCAGATCGATTAATTCTTACAGTGGCAAATAGAAGACAATAAAATCAATGGATTATGTTTCCATGAGACTCAGATATGCTTAAACAAATGCTCAGAAATATGAAATAGCTGTTCCGTGCTTTATTTGGTGCTTTGTTTACAAGATAGTGTTTGAGAGTTAAGTCAGACATTTTGACTGATAAAAAGATTTCTGTAAAACTATATTTACTCTTTTTGGCTAAATATAATCTAGAGAAAGTTTAACTTATTTTTTAGAGTAACATATTCCGTATTAAACTCACAAAGTCAACATAGAAAAGGGTGTTTTTCTTCACAAAGGTATGTAAAAGAAGTTCCAAAAATGCAGAAAGGTTTTTATATCTTAAATAGCTCTTTGTGGTAATAACTATACTATACTAACATTAAGATGCAGAAAGGATGCGTTTTCTAAGAAAAGAAAAGAAATACAGACTAAAATCTTTTTTTTTCTTTTCAGTTATATAACCTTTATCTCCTTTCTGAAAGTTTGGATTCGATAGTTTTGTGCTGTTCGATTTTTAAGGAATAAAATTTATTCTGTTTTAGTGAAAATATTTTAGAACATCTTTATTTATACACAAAAAATCTTTGTTTAGTTAAATTCACGGTTAAATATTACAATCATTATATGGAAAATCTGGTCTATTTTTATTTGTTGACATTGTTTTGCGGGATATTTTTCCTTTTGCTGTTCTCCAAACTGGTATTTTTGTTAGAGATTTAAAGTGAAAAAATACAATCTAAACTCAAATAGGTTTTTGCTTCAATAGCATCATAATATCGATTTAATCAGATAAACTTATAGCAGCAAGAAATGTATAGTTCAATCAAATAGATTTAAAAAGCTTCATGTCTTACCCCAAAAACATTTTAAAGTTTATTTAAAGTTTACTTTTTTAACCTGGTTAGTTTATATGATCTAATTAAAATATTTATTTCATTTTATTTTTTTACATGTATTCCAATTTCCCTGTGTAATTTTTAATCGATACTAAAGATTGTCATGTGTCTAATTTAATTTTTAAACTGGGTTAATACTTAGACTTTATTGTTATTTTGTATACAGCAAAATTTCGATGAATAAAGATTTTCAACAGTGAATGAGCAGCTTATAACAGTGTAATGAACATTTCCATTTATAAAGTGCAGCAGTGATCAAAATGTAAACTGCGTAGGAGAACAAGAAAGGAAAACAAGAGTATATGCATTTTAAGTAAAGCTGATATAAGGTAATACAAGGAAAAACAGGAATACAGGAACTCACTTAAGCTTGTATCTACAGTTAAAACAATAACGTACACTGTATAAAAGGGAGCCACAATAAACCTGTTACTGTCAAAGTGAGGGTGGAGGTTGGTCGAGGACCCAAATGAAGAAATGAGGAAGGCAGAGATGAGTTTTAGCAGCTTTAATGAAGTAAATGATAAATGAAACAAAATCTAGGAACCCCCACCTCCCCCACCCCCCTAAAAAAACAAGGACAAATCAACACACATGGGGAGCCAAGTAACAACAACGAACCAGCACTGAAGAACATAGGGAGAGTATATATGGGAGACAGAAAAAAGACTGGGGTAATCAGCTGATATCGAGCAGGTGTGGATGGAAGAGACTAGATGTGAGCTTGGGGAAATGAGAGAAGCACAAGGGAGGGAAACAAGAGAGTAACTGCTTAAATAAAACACAAAATGAAAAAAACAAACAAAAGATCAATCAAACAGAATGACTAAGATGAAAACTAGAAACTCAAAGTTCAAAAGGGGAGAACTTTATCTGAGAACTGTATCTTTTCATCACAAATACCTAGAATTAAGCATAGCATCACAACACATTCCCCACTCCTCATATGTGGAATTTCTAGATGTGATTAAATAAGATATCTTTAGAAACTTTCTTTTAGTGCACTATAAAAACTTTATCAAGGTGTACCCTTATCTAACAGGTTTATGTAAGGCTGCAATTGCATTAAAGTGGACATTTGAACTTGTTCTCTGATACAGCTAATTTAACAAATTCCCTATTACTTTACAGGTAGATGATATAACATATGGAACCAGAAAAGCTGGAAATGGATCTGAGTAGATTGTGAATTTTAGCCTAATCACAAGTTTTTCATTTATGTTATAAATGTTCATTTCAAATGCTTAAGTTGGCCAATAAGTATCCACCTACATTTAACAGTGAAATCAATTTATTACGTTGTTGCTTGGGACTCAGAAATGAAAAAAAAAAAAAATGAAAAGAAAATTGAACAGCTGTTTAGTAATTTCGTTAGATGCTTCTATATTAGCTAGATAATTTTTCTGAGTAAAGAATATGCACACTGCACTGCATGCATATATTATTGGATCATTACTGTCAGCCAAACAGGTTGTTAACTTTTATATGGTTGTTTTGTGCTCTAGATAATTTCCAGCAATACCCGAGGGTCAAAAACAAGATATAGGTGAAGATGGTTAAGCAAACTGCCAATGACAGCATCCATCACTTCAGTGGTGATAAGGCTGATTATTCTGTGTTCAACAAAGCATGGAAGAAAATAACAGGCCCTGCAGCTGAAAACCTCGGAAGTGTTTTCTTTGGATCAAGTGTTGTGATTCAGTTTGGAACCATGGGTGAAGGAAGAGGAGATAAAGAAAACCAAGCTAACAGGGAAGAAGTGGCTGACAGCAGAAATATAGTAAATAAGCACTCTATAAATGTAGGTTTTTATAATCCAGCACAGTCGTCGCTACAAGGAAAAGGAGAAGAGGGAGTGAAACCTCAGACAGGTAAGAAAGTCTTTGCATTGGTAAAAGGGATGTGCAACAATCTTAAGTCAAAGTATTTCCTTCTTTGTGGAGCTCAGGAAACAAAAATCCATTATTTGATAAAAGTTTTTTCATTCTTTTCCTTCCTTAGTGACGGCATCAAAGATCATTGTCAAAGGCTCAGATGGAGAACTGAAGTGCATCAAAGGTAACAACACATAGAGGCAAAACTACTCTTGTGCTTTAAAAACTGATAAACAATTTTCCTTTATTCCTTAGAATAAATATGATGACTTCATTTTTTTGTAGTTCTGAGAGCTTACAGGATCATCCTGCTTGGAGAAACCGGAGCTGGGAAAAGCACCCTTGGAAACTTTCTATTTGGAGAAGATGTGTTCAAATCTGGCAGAACAACTGAATATTATCTTCACTCCAAATCTGCCCATGAAAGAAGAATCACTGTGTTGGACACACCTGGTTTCTCTAATGGTGACTTGAAGGATGATATAGTTAGGTGTAGCACAGAGTACACTCCTGGGCCTCATGTTTTCTTGATTGTTCTGAAAATGGAGGAATCCTCTGAGCAATTGTTGGCTGTCATTAAGAAAATCTTCCAGAGTTTCTCAGAGGAAGAATTCAAATATGCAGCAGTTGTTTTTACACATGTTCATCAGGGAATGGAAATAAAAAATTATATTAACCAGCAAAAAGATCTTCAAGATTTAGTTAAGAAGTGCAGTGGCCGATTCCTTGTTTTTGACCATAACAAAAGCTCAGAGGAGGACAAAATTTTTTTTCAGTCAGAGCTAATAAACATGATAGATAAGTTAGTGATGGAAAACAAAGGGGGGTGTTACACCCACAAAATGATCCAAGCACATAAGACAGACAACAAAGAAACGGGTAACCCAAAAAACGACAAAGCTGACACTGATGCCAGTAAGAGTTTGTGGATAAACCTCTCAGGTCCTGAGGGGAACTTGGTGGCAAAAACTTTCTTTGGATTAGCTGCTGAACAAGGATCCCCTATAACAACATCGCTAGGAACAGCAACAGGAGCACCAATAGGGGATGGAGTAGGAACAGCATTAACGGAAGGAGTAGGAGCAGGGGTAGGAGCAGCAAAAGGAGCAGAAATAGCAAAAGGGGTAGAAGCAGCAAAAGGAGCAGAAATAGCAACAGGAGTAGGATCAGCAACAGTGGCAGAAAAAGCAACAGAGGTAGGATCAGCAACAGGGGCAGACATAGCAACAGGGGTAGGATCAGAAACAGGGTCAGGGATAGGAGCAGGAATAGCAACAGGGGTAGGACCAGAAACAAGGGCAGAAATAGCAACAGGGGTAGGATCAGCAACAGGGGCAGAAATAGCAACAGGGGTAGGATCAGAAACAGGGTCAGGGATAGGAGCAGCAACAGGAGCAGGAATAGGGGCAGGAATAGCAACAGGGGCAGGATCAGCAACAGGGGCAGGAGTAGGAGCAGGGGTAGGCACAGTAATAGGATCCGCAATAGGAGCAGGAGTAGGAGCAGGGGTAGGCACAGCAATAGGATCAGCAATAGGGGCAGGAGTAGGATCAGGGGTAGGAACAGCAACAGGATCAGCAATAGGGGCAGGGGTAGGATCAGCGGTAGGAACAGCAACGGGATCAACAATAGGATCAGGGGTAGGAACAGCAACGGGATCAGCAATAGGATCAGGGGTAGGAACAGCAACGGGATCAGCAATAGGATCAGGGGTAGGAACAGCAACGGGAGCGGCAATGGGATCAGCAATAGGAGCAGGGGTAGGCACAGTAATAGGATCCGCAATAGGAGCAGGAGTAGGATCAGGGGTAGGAACAGCAATGGGATCAGCAATAGGGGCAGGGGTAGGATCAGCGGTAGGAACAGCAACGGGATCAACAATAGGATCAGGGGTAGGAACAGCAATAGGGGCAGGAGCAGTAATAGGGGCAGGAGTATGGGGCATTAGGAAAATGATAATCCATCTTTATAACATCTTTAAGAAGAATATTGGAGTTGTCCTACTAGTTGTTGCCTTCTACTTCCTGCTACTGTTGTCATTTTTTGCCAGAGTACCAATGGTGGGAAGCCTTGTTCTATCATGTGGAATCTTCATTTTGTTTTTGGTCATAGTCTTTTTATTAATTGCAATAGGCAATAACAATGGCTCATTGTTACTTAAACCAAAATAAATAAACATGGCAAATGAGCTGAAAATCTGATTTATTTAAGTCAAAGTTAAAAACCCTTTTGTTTAGAAGTGCCTTTGAAAGTTGAAGTTAAACTATTAACTGAGATGTCATTAGCTTTAGGTTGTAGTCCAACAGTTGTATTTGCTACTTTAGTCATTTTTTTTGTCCTGACTTGCTTTTTTTTTCTTCTTGTATATCTCATCTACTTTATTATTTAATTCTTTTTCTATTTAATTGTTGTATTTCCAGATTTTCTGTGATGGTTTTCATATCACTTTGGAGATTCTAAAAATCACACTTTTTTCAATTCAATGCTCCTCCGCTGTTTTTCCTGAATATGTAATCAGTTATGATTTTGTGTTTCTAGTTATTAAAAGTTTAATGAAAAACAACTTTATTAGAATCTCTTTGTAATCTGAGCTTCTGCCTCAGATGGATGATGATTGTTTGTTGATCAAATCTAAAAATTCTAATACAATATAAAGTAAAGCAATCTAACAGAACCTTTTTTTAAATGATTTTCAAAGCATTTGTCTTTCGTATACCATCATGTCGAGCAAGAGCTGTGGTTGGTTTTGTCTTAAAGGAAGACAAAAGTAGATTTATTTTCTACAGATTTATCTACATTTCTGTCATTCTTTCTGGTCATTGACTGCAGTGTATTGCTTTCTGAATAAATATAAGTAGATGGAAAAAAATCTGTGGGATTTCTTTTGAAAAGTCAAGTAGAACAAACAAACGTATTGCATAATAAAGGCAAGATGTATTAAATTAATACCAGTTCTTTGGTTCCCTTCATTTTTTTTTATTTCTGTTATAAGTGAAAGATTTTAAATAAACAATAAGCTGATCAATGTGATGTTGTCTTCACACTATCAACACTTTTATAAGGTCTGCACCTAAAAAAGTATCTTGCTGAGAGCAGGATAATAAATAAGCAGCAGAATACTGACTATTTCCAGATACATGGATGAAAAACAAAGTTCTTTATATTGCTAACCTTAGCTTCATACCACCAAAAAGCATTTTTTTTAATAATTATTTTATTTTCATTAGCATCAGGACCTACTTGATGCATTTGGCTCATATTGTAGTGTTTTTGTACTTGCAGCTTTTCCTAAACTCTGTGGTCTCCGCAATAAATCACTTTAAATTGCTGACTTTTTACAGCTGAGGCCCTTTCCGATACAAGTGGGATTCAACCCAGAGCGACGAGCACAAGTCTTCTGCATTGTATTGAAGTAATAAATAACTGAGAACAAGGCTTTTATTGCTTTTGAAGAGAGAACAACATTGTTCTATTTATTTTTGCATCTTCATATATATTTTTTAATAAATTTTCAAACAAATGGGAAAAGGAAACAAATCTGAGGTCTGTATTCAGGTGATCTTTTGGCTGGATTTCGGGAGAAAATTAAATTGTCCTGCAAAATGATGTGGAAGTATAAGCAAGTTAATTCAGCTTCACAGCATTCAGCCTTCATCAAACACACAATCTCTGCCTTAAATAGACATAGCTGATGGTCTAAACCATTTACATGAAATTCAACTCCTCACTTCCATCTAAAAGCTTAGACAGATTTTATTTCGTGATTTTGTACACACAAGTGTATACAAAAAGGAATTTCGTTAAGTACANATCTAAAAGCTTAGACAGATTTTATTTCGTGATTTTGTACACACAAGTGTATACAAAAAGGAATTTCGTTAAGTACATCTCCCTAAACATTTTCATTTTTTAAAGTGAATCCTAAGCAGCTAAGCAGTGATAAAAAGCATTGTGATGAAACAAAAACACTGTGGTGAAAAAAAGTGATGTAAACATATGACTGTATAGTTACAGTTCAAACATTCAGTTTTTTTTTAGTTTCTTTTTTATAACCCATTTTACATAACATTCAGCAGTCTAATGGCAGTGGGGAAGAAACTGTTCTGGAATCTGCTGGACGTGCATTGGATGCTTAGAGGTCTCTTCCCAGAGGGCAGCGGGGAGAACAGTCCATGGTGGGGGTGTGAGGGGTCAATTATGATGTCACGGGCTCGGGGCACGCAACGCTAGGATAAAATGTATTTAATGGAGGTAAGAGGAACCCTGATGATCTTTTTTGCTGTTCTCACCACTATCCTCACCTTCTTCCAGTCTGAGGCGATGCAGCCTCCACAACACAGTGAGACAGCTGGCCAGAACGCTCTCTATGATGCTCTAGAAGGTGGTGAGGATGGGTGGGGGCAGGTGGGCTCTCTTCACCCTGAGCAAGAATTACATGTGCTTCTGTCCCCTTTTGACCAGTTGGGTGGTGTTTACATTCCAGGTGAGGGTGTCTGTGATGTTCACCCCCTGGAATTTGGTGCTGTTGACCACCTCTACAGCTGAGCTGTTGATGATCAGTGGAGCGTGGTTAGGCCGGTTCTTCCTGAAGTCCAAGATGACCTCCTTCATCTTCTCCACATTCAGCATCAGGCTGTTATCTTTGCACCATTTCACCAGCTGCTCCACCTCCTCTCTGTAGTCCACATCGTCTACGATGAGGTCCACCACCGTGGTGTCGTCTGCAGACTTTACGATGTGACTGGTGGTGAACCTGGGGACGCAGTCATGTGTCATCAGGGTGAACAGCAGGGGGCTCAGAATGCAGCCCTGATGGGAGATTGTGCTTAGACTGATGACATCAGAGGCGTTCTGTCCAATCCGGACTGACTGAGGTCTGTTGGTGAGGAAGTCAAGCAGCAAATTGCAGAGGGGTGTATTGAATCCCAGCTGTTCCAGTTTGCCCATCAGATGCTGTAAGATGATGGTGTTGAAAGCTGAACTGAAGTCCAGGAACAGCATCCGCACGTGGGAATTCTTCTCCTCCA